AATCTTCCAACGTTGACTCATACAATGCATTTAACAGGAGGATCCACATCGGGCACCTTGTTCGAGGTAACAGTGCCCACCATGACAAACACCGAATGCAATACCAAGTACGGAGGACGCATCACTGACAACATGATCTGCGCAGGCATTCCTGAGGGAGGCAAGGACTCCTGCCAGGTGTGTTCCTTCGTCATTCTTACCTTTTAAAGATACAATTTCAACTTCTTTTTTGATATATGACATTCCTTTCGATATATTTCACACAGTATATGTGAATATTACAGGGAGACTCTGGTGGACCAATGGTGGTGGAAGAAAACGGCAAGTGGAAGCTGGTGGGAGTTGTGTCGTGGGGTTATGGCTGTGCTCGACCTGATAGGCCCGGAGTCTATGCCAGAGTTACACGTGAGTAATTTGTGGTTAGCCATTGAATCAGTTCCTGTAGTAAAAAAACAACTATCTTACGGGATTTTTATACAACTAATGCATCTCCTGGAAGATGAAATGTACCTCTCAGCTTTGGCCTGTAAGGGATACTTTAACATTTTTGCTGTCTATGACTGATATCTTGCAATACCACCAATGTTTCTCTTACGTTATAAGAAGCTGAAAGTCGGTTATAAAAAAAAAAAAAAAAAAAAAATCAAGGTGAAGATTGCTTAATATTTTTGATCAAGGAAACATGCCAACCTCAATGCCGCTCCAGTGTCCATGTATGACGGGCTCAGCTAAAATGTAACCACTGCGTTGAGGATTCTTTGATTATGTTTCGGGTTGCAGTTATAGACTTATGCACTTGCGTTTATAATGAATGCATTGCATTCAGAAAATTTGGTCAGACTTTCTATAATTAGACTGGATACCATATATGAAGAGAATGTTAGAAGCTGAGTTCTTGTCAGTAATATTCTAATACGTTTTTCATCATTCTTTGTACGTACAATGAGATAATGATGACTATTTTCCATCAGAATATTTGCAATGGATTTCTGACTCAACAACCGGAGTCTGTGTCGATGGGAACACACCTGCTCCTACAAATGCCCCGACGACTGCCCCTACAACTGCCCCGACGCCTGCCCCTACTACTGCACCCACGCCTGCCCCAACTTCTGATCCTAATACTGATTGCCGTAAGTAAAGATAACAAAATCTGTAGTAATCTTCAAGGTACCATAATATTAAAAAGAGTCTTCAGCATTGATGAAATAACAGAAAACCTGCAGACAATAAGGAAGTTGATGACGGGTGGACAAACTTTGAAGTGTCCAGTACTCCATTTTCTATGAACTGGTTTTGCGAGTTTCCTCAATCACTTTATTCCCACAGCTGGATGTGGACAAGTCAACCGTGCCAACCGCATTGTTGGTGGAGTAGAGACGGAGGTGAACGAATATCCCTGGATGGTTTCTCTTGTCGACGGCAGTGGATACTATCACTTCTGTGGCGGTTCTATCATCTCCAGCCAATGGGTCGTCACTGCAGCTCACTGTGCAGTTGGGTAAGTAGATCCTATTGAAGTAAAAAAAGAAGAAAAAATTCCCTATTGTCTCAAATGCACTTCTCTATTCCCTATTATTATTGCAGCATGACCACCTCGGATTATGTGCTGGTGGGAGACCACAACCTGTACTCCGAAGCGAAGCCAATTCTCAGTGGATGCAGATTGCTGAAGTAAGTTTAATGTCCTCGCTTCCTCATAGAACATTGGAAAAACTGAAATCGATTTGTCCTTATTTTTCTCGACCTATATTTTCACGATCAGACAGCTAAACAATTGTAATAACCTTTGTAACAGATTGTGAATCATCCGTCCTATGATTCCAACACACTGGACAACGACATTGCCCTCATCAGACTCAAGACAGAGATCCAGTTCCCATCTGACAACAAAATCGCCCTGTCTGCCTTCCAACTGCTGGTGAAATGTATGATAGTGTGGATGCCACAATCACAGGATGGGGAGCTCAACAGGAGGGTGGGTACTGATAATAGTAACAAGTTTTGTAAAAACATTTGTTTATATTTTAGGAAAGAGAATGTCTGCATTGGCTCATACAAATACATTTAACAGGAGGATCCACATCGGGCACCTTGTTCGAAGTAACAGTGCCCACCATGACAAACACCGAATGCAATACCAAGTACGGAGGAAGCATCACTGACAACATGATCTGCGCAGGCATTCCTGAGGGAGGCAAGGACTCCTGCCAGGTATGTTCTTCATTCTTGCTTTTAAGGATACAATTTTAACTTGTCGTTTTGATATATGACATTCCTTTGATATATTTCACACAATATGACATATTTCACACAGTATATGTGAATATTACAGGGAGACTCTGGTGGACCAATGGTGGTGGAAGAAAACGGCAAGTGGAAGCTGGTGGGAGTTGTGTCGTGGGGTTATGGCTGTGCTCGACCTGATAGGCCCGGAGTCTATGCCAGAGTTACACGTGGGTATATTATACTATGCCACTGAATCAATTCCTTCAATTCAATAACTTTCATGAGATGTATATCTATGTATATCAAAGATCCTAATGTGAAAGATGCACACCTCAAGCTTTCCCTAGAAGGAAGAATGTACCACTTAGGTTTTTCCTGTAAGAAACACTCGCATGTTGACTGTCTATGACCGACATTTTGCGAATAAATGTTTTTCTTAGGCCCTCTGGCACCACAGGAAGAAAGCTATCTCATTAAAAAAATTGTGCTCTTACTAGAAATATTTAGATATACTTTTCATTATTCCTTATATCTACAATCAGTTAATGAACACTTGCTTTTTCATCAGAATATTTGCAATGGATTTCTGACACAACAACCGGAGTCTGTGTCGATGGGAACACACCTGCTCCTACAAATGCCCCGACGCCTGCCCCTACTACTGCACCCACACCTGCCCCTACTTCTGACTGCCGTACGTAAAAATAAAATCTGTGTTGATCTATAAAAAAAGCTAGAAAATCAAATAAAGACTACATAGAGACATTTGTTGTAATTGGGAGCGACGCAACAGTCTAGTGTTGATGGATTAGAAAATCATTAGACACTAAGCAAATTAATGGATGAAAGTTGATGATGATTGGACAATCTCCGAAGTTTACAGCACCATTTTCAAGCTGTCTTTTTGTGAATATGGTTTTGTGAGTTTGTTGTTGTAAAGATGATATGCCACAGCTGGATGCGGACAAGTCAACCGTGCCAACCGCATTGTTGGTGGAGTAGAGACGGAGGTGAACGAATATCCCTGGATGGTTTCTCTTGTCGACGGCAGTGGATACTATCACTTCTGTGGCGGTTCTATCATCTCCAGCCAATGGGTCGTCACTGCAGCTCACTGTGCAGTAGGGTAAGTAGCTACTACTACTACTACTACTAATAAAAAAGAATATATATAGTATATATATATATATATATATATATATATATATATATATATATATATCATCTCTTATTGTCTCAATGCACTTCTCTATTCCCTATTATTATTGCAGCATGACCACCTCGGATTATGTGCTGGTGGGAGACCACAACCTGTACTCCGCAAGCGAAAGCCAATTCTCAGTGGATGCAGATTGCTGAAGTAAGTTAATGTCCTCACTTCCTCATAGAACATTGGAAAAACTGAATCGTTTTGTCATTTTTCTTCTCGACCTATATTTTCAAGATCAAACAACTAAAACAATTGTAACATCCTTTGCAACAGATTGTGAATCATCCGTCCTATGATTCCAACACACTGGACAACGACATTGCCCTCATCAGACTCAAGACAGAGATCCAGTTCCCATCTGACAACAAAATCGCCCCTGTCTGCCTTCCAACTGCTGGTGAAATGTATGATAGTGTGGATGCCACAATCACAGGATGGGGAGCTCAACAGGAGGGTGGGTACTCATATTCGTATAAGCCTTTTAAAGTTTTGTTTTATATTAGAGAATGATAACAAAAATCTTCCAACGTTGACTCATACAATGCATTTAACAGGAGGATCCACATCAGGCCCCTTGTTCGAGGTAACAGTGCCCACCATGACAAACACCGAATGCAATACCAAGTACGGAGGAAGCATCACTGACAACATGATCTGCGCAGGCATTCCTGAGGGAGGCAAGGACTCCTGCCAGGTGTTCCTTCGTCATTCTTATCTTTTAAAGATACAATTTCAACTTCTTTTTTGATAGATGACATTCCTTTCGATATATTTCACACAGTATATGTGAATATTACAGGGAGACTCTGGTGGACCAATGGTGGTGGAAGAAAACGGCAAGTGGAAGCTGGTGGGAGTTGTGTCGTGGGGTTATGGCTGTGCTCGACCTGATAGGCCCGGAGTCTATGCCAGAGTTACACGTGGGTATATTATACTTTGCCACTGAATCAATTTCTGCAGTTCAGTAACTCAGCTGTCTCATGAGATATATATCTATGTATATCCAAATGTGAAACACACACTACTCAAGTTTTCCCTGTAAGAAACACTCGCATGTTGACTGTCTAATACCGACAGTTTGCGATCCATAAATGTTTTTCTTAGGCCCTCTGGCACCACAGGAAGAAAGCAATCTCAGTCAAAATTTTTTTTCTCTTACTAGTAATATTTTGATATATTTTTCCTTATTCCTTGTGCCCACAATCAGATAATGAAAACTTGTTTTTCATCAGAATATTTGCAATGGATTTCTGACACAACAACCGGAGTCTGTGTCGATGGGAACGCACCTGCTCCGACGCCTGCCCCTACTTCTGAACCCAATTCTGACTGCCGTAAGTAAAAATATCAAAATCTGCAATAATCTACAAAATACCATACTAAAAAAGATCAAACAAAACATTTACATAGGCTTCGGCGTTGATGAGCGAACAGAAAACCTGTTACTCAATAATGAAATGATGATGGATGGACAACCTATGAAGTATCCAGTACTCCATTCATTTTCAAGCTGTCTTACCTTCCATGAAATGGTGTTGCGAGTTTCTTCTTATTCCCACAGCTGGATGTGGGCAAGTCAACCGTGCCAACCGCATTGTTGGTGGAGTAGAGACGGAGGTGAACGAATATCCCTGGATGGTTTCTCTTGTCGACGGCAGTGGATACTATCACTTCTGTGGCGGTTCTATCATCTCCAGCCAATGGGTCGTCACTGCAGCTCACTGTGCAGTTGGGTAAGTAGGGTAAGATCCTATTGAACTAAAAAAAAAAAAAAAATCTTATTCTCTCAAATCCACTTCTCTATTCCCTATTATTATTGCAGCATGACCACCTCGGATTATGTGCTGGTGGGAGACCACAACCTGTACTCCGCAAGCGAAGCCAATTCTCAGTGGATGCAGATTGCTGAAGTAAGTTTAATGTCCTCACTTCATCGCAGAACATTGGAAAAACTGAATCGATTTGTCATTTTTCTAAACATATTAAAAAAAAAACAAACAACTAAACATTTGCAATACATATCCTTTCCAACAGATTATGAATCATCCGTCCTATGATTCCAATACACTGGACAACGACATTGCCCTCATCAGACTCAAGACAGAGATCCAGTTCCCATCTGACAACAAAATCGCCCCTGTCTGCCTTCCAACTGCTGGTGAAATGTATGATAGTGTGGATGCCACAATCACAGGATGGGGAGCTCAACAGGAGGGTGGGTACTGGTATTCGTGATAAGCCTTTTAAAGTTTTGTTTTATATCAGAGAATGATAACAAAAATCTTCCAACGTTGACTCATACAATGCATTTAACAGGAGGATCCACATCGGGCACCTTGTTCGAGGTAACAGTGCCCACCATGACAAACACCGTATGCAATACCAAGTACGGAGGACGCATCACTGACAACATGATCTGCGCAGGCATTCCTGAGGGAGGCAAGGACTCCTGCCAGGTGTGTTCCTTCGTCATTCTTATCTTTTAAAGATACAATTTCAACTTCTTTTTTGATACGTGCATTCCGTATATTTCACCAGTATATGTGAATGTTACAGGGAGACTCTGGTGGACCAATGGTGGTGGAAGAAAACGGCAAGTGGAAGCTGGTGGGAGTTGTGTCGTGGGGTTATGGCTGTGCTCGACCTGATAGGCCCGGAGTCTACGCCAGAGTTACACGTTAGTGTTCAATTCTTTTGGAACTGGTTAAGTTCTCAATAAGGCATAAAATAATTTCACTTGAAATGAAGAGATCCTTTCCTTCCAATAATGGCTAATATTTTCAATAATGATTAATATTTATAGGAAATTCTAATAAACGGTTCTGTTTCCTTCTCATCAGAATACCTTGACTGGATTTCGACCTCGACCGGAGGTGTCTGTCCGACGGCTGGTTAATCCACCCATTGGAAAGGTTGTCAGAAGCCAAAGCCCGGGCCAGGAGTACACTCTCGAAGGCACGGTGTAGACGAGGAGCTGGAATTGGATGTTTTCATTCCTGTCTTCCATGTTTTCTTTAGTTTGGCCAAGTTTCCTTTCTTTGCCCTTATTTCTGTTTCTGGATTTTCCATATCAGGAAATATTAAATTTGTGAATTGATTTGGTTGTTTTAGTTTTATTCCACACTGCAAACAACTATAACAGTGTTTGGTAGAACACGAAAGTCCAAAGCGTTTGGAGTTTGGCTGATGACGTCATTGCTCGTGATAAACGCTGATTGGCTGATGAATGCATTGCGAGAAACTATTGAACACCTCATTTCACACAATACACAATATACAAGACAGGAATCTCTCTCTTTCCTCCCCCTTCTCACCTTTTCTTTCTCCGTCTCTTTCTCACTTATCCTACCTCTCTCTCTATCTCCCTCTCCCTTCCCTACCTCTATCTCACCCCCCCCTCTCTCTCTCTATCTCTTTTTCTCTTTCACATATCCAACCACCGCTTGCGTCTCTCATTTGAGTCTCAAGAGAGTTGATACAATGTTAACAGTCCTCTTCAAGATGGAAACGAGACAGGACTTTTTTTTTTTTTTTTTTAATTATGTACAGTGAGCACATGGAGCACAAAGTACATAAATCCACCAGCACTTAAAATTTTGTGGGACATTACCCTGGTAACTATTTACACGTATTGTCTGTTTACAGTTGCGATATATAACCCCGGCGACCTATAACCCAAACCTCCTCCCCTTCCCATTGAAATTCAATCAACTCAAATTTACTCATACCGACTCCCAAACAATAGTCATAGAGCAAAAACCTACGAAAAGTCAGATTCAAGAACTTCCATGTGAAGCCGCGGCCAGTGCAGATACACGTTTATGCCAAGTAGCGCGTTTTGAGGATTCTAGAAAAAAAAGGACGAGGTAGGAACATCAAACTTTGGTTCTGAACCTAGGCGGCCAATGTTCAAGAGTATCCAGTTTCATTGGAATCGGCCCAAGAGAAGCCGAGATACAAGGGGGGTCCCACCCGACCATTATTGGGACATATACATACATACATACAGAGGTACGACAAATTTAGAAAGAAAATATCTCGAGAACGGAAATAGATAGAGAGATGGTTGACCACTCGTTCGAAATCTTTTATAATCGCGCACGTTTTCTTGAGGTAAGCGAATCTGTCCCTCTCTCCCCCGCTCCTCCTTTCTCACTGTCTCCCTCCTTCTCGAAGAGCAGATAGGGTATGGGGGAGGATGGGGATAGATATGTATATGTGAATGTTTGTATGTATAATGTATATACATACATACATATACATACAAATGTATGTTTATGAATATATATATAATATATATATATATATATATATATATATATATATATATATATATATATATATATGAGAGAGAGAGAGAGAGAGAGAGATGGGTATAGCCATAGCTATATATATATATATATATATATATATATATATATATATATATATATATATATATATATATATATATATATATATATGTATCAGAATTTATAAGACTATTTATAAAGGTGTTAATGATCAATAAAAGGTGATGATGATTCACCAGGTGGTGATATAGAAACTGTTTTAAGTAAAACTCATTGGTGTTGCCTCAGTTCAGTGGATAACACTCTGTGATTGGTCGATTTTTACCCGAGCTAACGCTGATTGGTCGATAGAGCCGTTCTTTTAGGAAAAAAGCCCTACGACACCGGTCGTTACGGTTACGAGACCCCTGCGCTCTCGTTGTTTGGCGTTTGAAAATTGGTCGTAAAATCGCTAGTTGAGAAATCGTTGATAGTTCTCGTAACTGTTACGAGAGACAGCGTTTACGAGAGAGTATAGTAAATCCGGCCCCTGGATTCCAGCCAGCCTAGAGAACAGGCAGGCTTCCGCAGCGGATTCTCAACAACAGATCACACCCACATGTTCACCCAAATAAGAGAAAAAGTAAACGAATATAGGAAACCCCTGTGTATGGCATTCATCGATTATGAAAAGGCATTTGACTCTGTACAAATACCAGCAGTATTAGGTGCTATTCAACAACAGGGAGTTGAGGAGGTATATTGTAATATATTGGAAGATATATACAAAGATGGGAAAGCAACCATCAAACTCCACACAGAAACCGATAAAATACCAATTAAAAAAGGCGTTAGACAGGGCGACACCATCTCACCAAAGCTGTTTACAGCCTGCCTCGAGGAAATATTCAAGAAACTAGAATGGGAAGGGAAATCAAAATAGGAGATGAACACCTAAACAACCTAAGATTTGCAGACGACATTGTTCTCCTTAGTGAATCAGCTGATGAACTGCAGCAATTAATAAACGATCTGAATAGAGAAAGCCTAAAAGTCGGACTTAAGATGAACAAGAAAAAAAGGTTCAACAGCAGAGTCCCACTCAAACAAATACATGTACAAGGCGAAGCGCTAGAGGTAGTAGACAGGTATATATACCTAGGACAACTCGTGCAGACAAGCACATCTAGTGAACAGGAAATAAAGCGACGAATCAGTCTAGGCTGGAGTGCCTTCGGCAGGCACAGTAGCACACTAAGAGGTTCCTTGCCTTTGTGCTTAAAAAGAAAAGTCTTTAACCAATGCGTCCTCCCAGTTATGACCTATGGGTCAGAAACATGGACTACAACCAGGCTACTGGAGAGGAAACTAATAAGCGCCCAGAGAGGGATGGAAAGATCGATGATGGGAATTAGCCTGAGAGATCGGAAGAGGGCGACGTGGATCAGAGAACAGACGAAGGTAGAAGATATACTCAAGAGCAATGA